AGCCAAAATCGAAAAGTCTGTGAGTCCACGGCGAAGAACATCCATTAAACGCTGGAAACTCGTCGGGGCGTTTTTCAATCCAAATGGCATACGTAAATAGCGGAACGTTCCAAATGGAGTGGCGAAAACAGTCTTATCGCGGTCACACTCGCGGACACTAATTTGGTGATAACCAGTCATGAAAGCGGTATGTTTTACAGCATGTAGTAGATTATCCATTCGCGGTAGAGAGTAAGAATCAGTAACGCTGACGGCATTGAGTTTTTGGTATTTGACACATAGCCTCACTTGCTCATCCTTTTCAGGTACTCAGATAATGGGAAATACCCATGGACTCTTTGTCTCTTCTATAATATTTTCCTTGAGAAGCTTGTCTAATTCAGTGCGTAACTGCTCCTTCCGAGTAGGTGATATTCTGTACGGAGGCACTGGAATAGGTTGTACGTCATCGGTCAGGTTGATGCAATGCTCGGCATACGGTGCGGCATCTCCCCCTAGACCAAAAATATCCTCGTTTTGATCGAAAAAAAAAAAAAAAATCACGATGTTCAGGCGCTAGCATATGTACTTCGTTACGCAATAGTTCAAGGCTTGATATTGGCACTTGATTGGTGGACAGCAGGGCTTCAAAGCACAACTGATGCACCACGTTTGCCGCGTCATTTGCATCACCTATTTCATCATTAAAATTCCAAGTAGCACAAGGAATACTAACGGCGCTTCTTCATCTCCTTCTTCCCAGGAATATCTATATAACACACCATTCATTAGGATGAAACCGCGATGTGTCCACTGAGCTATGGTGTTATCTTCATTGTCCTCAACACAGTTCATAATTTTAACAAGTTCGGGATCCTTCATCTGTTCCGTACGTAACTCATAAACAGTTCGGGCTGGCACATCTCTTATCTCACAGATATCACAGGGTTACAGGGTGGCCAGGATAGAAGATCCGCTACTACATTTTTCTTCCCCAAAATATATTCAACCTTTAGATCATAACTCTGTAGTTTCAAGGCCCAACGAGCAAGACGTGCTGTCGCTAGAGTCTTGAGTATTAAAAGACATTGTAATGATTGGTGGTCAGTGGAAAGGGTTACCTTGGACCTTTCCTCATATCCTCTAAATTTGCCTAAATCCCATACAGCGGCTATAGCTTCTCGTTCAATTGTAGTATAATTTCGCTCAGCTGACAGTAATAACCTCAACGCAAGTTCCACAACATGTTCTTCTGGTCTTTCTCCTTGGACCAATATGGCCCCAATTGCATAAGAACTGGTATCCGTTCTAATCATAAATGAGTTAGTTTCGTCCATCCGTTGCAATATTGGTGCGCTAAGTAGGTGTTGCTTTAAGGTGTCAAATGCTTGGCGTTGTTGGTCACCTCAGTGAAAAATCATATTCTTTTTGGTTAACTGACTTGATGGGCGTGCGATTTCGCGGTACCTGCGGTACCATGAGCAGGCTTGGAGAAACGAATGTACCTCTTTCAAGTTCCGCGGGACAGGCAATAGCAGCAGTTTTTTCAGGATTAACTGATATACCATTGGGTGTTATTAAATGTCCCAGATATTGATTACTCGTACGAACAAACATACATTTTGCCCGATTTGCACGCGAACTTGAACTGTCTAAGCCTGTTGAAAACTTTCTGAAAATCAAGGTGCGTCTCAAAGTCAGAGGACAAGACGATCATATCATTTAGATATGCCAAAATCGAAACGTCTGTGAGTCTACGACGAAGAACATCTATTAAACACTGGAAAGTCGCCGGAGCGTTTTTCAATCCGAATGGCATACGTAACTAGCGGAACGTTCCAAATGGAGTGGTGAAAGCAGTCTTATCGCGGTCACACTCGCGGACACTAATCTGGTAATAACCAGTTCGTAAGTCTATGGTAGTCATGAAAGCGGTAGATTTTGCAGCATGTAGTAGATCATCCATTCGCGGTAGAGGGTATGAATCAGTAACGCTGACGGCGTTAAGTTTTTGGTAGATCACACATAGCCTCACCTGCCCATCCTTTTCAGGTACTAAGACAATGGTAAATGCCCATGGACTCTCTGTCTCTTCTATAATATTTTCCTTGAGAAGCTTGTCTAATTCAGTGCGTAACTGCTCCTTCCGAGTAGGTGACATTCTGTACGGAGGCACTGGAATAGGATGTACGTCATCGGCCAAGTTGATGCAATGCTCGGCATACGGTGTGGCATCTGCCCCTAGACCAAAAATATCCTCGTTTTGATCCAAAAAGGCTTGTAATCTTTTTACGCTGTTCAGGAGCTAGCATATGTCCTTCTTCATTACGCAATGATTCAAGGCTTTACATTACATTACATTACGTATGCTTTATTGTCTGAAATTACATAAATTTATTGACAAAGCGATCTCGTTAAATCTAATTACCTAATAATATCAATACATATTACATATTACATTACAAATAAAGACAAATAATCTACAACAAAAGGCAGAAAATAATAGAACAAGCTAAAATACATATCTCAAATAAATATAAAATACAATGCAATAAAAAAAAAACTTACAAAAAACTAACAAGGAGCATAAAAAAAAATAAAAGAAATAATAGAGACTACCAATCTAACAAGATCACAAAAGCTTGATACTGGTAGGTACTTGATTGGTGGACAGCGGGTCTTCAAAACACGACTGATGAACCGCGTTTGCCGGTGCCGGGTCATTTGCATCACCTATTTCATCGTTAAAATACCAAGTAGCACAAGGAATACTAACTGCGCTTCTTCATCTCCTTCTCCCCAGGAATATCTATAATACACACCATTCATTAGGATGAAACCGCGATCTGTCCACTAAGCTATGGTGTTTTCATTGTTCTCAACACAGTTTATAATTTTAACAAGTTCGAGATCCTTCATCTGTTTTGTACGTTACTCATAAACAATTCGGGCTGGCACATCTACTGTAATTTCACAGATATCCTAGGATGTTAAATCTTCATGGTTACAGGATGGCCGGGATAGAGGATCCGTTACTACATTTTTCTTCCCCAAAATGTATTCAACCTTTAGATCATAACTGTGTAGTTTCAAGGCCTAACGAGCAAGACGCCCTGTCGCTTGAGTCTTCAGTGTTAAAAGCCATTTTAATGGTTGGTGGTCAATGGAAAGGGTTACCTTAGACTTTTCCACATATCCTCTAAATTTGCCTAAAGCCCATTCAGCGGCTAAAGCTTCTAGTTCAGTTGTAGTATAATTTTGCTCAGCTGGCAGTAACAACCTCGACACATATTCCACAACATGTTCTTCTGGTCATTCTCTTTGAAGCAATATGGCTCCAATTGCATAAGAACTGGCATCCGTTCTAATCATAAATGACTTAGTTTGCGTCCATCTGTTGCAATATTGTTGCGCTAAGTAGGTGTTGCTTTTAAGGTGTCAAATGCTTGGCGTTGTTGGTCCCCTCAGTGAAAATTGATATACTTTTTGGTTAACTGTCCTAATGGGCGTGCGATTTCAGAAAAGTTCTTATTGAACCTGCGGTACCATGAACAGACTTGGGGAGAAACGATTGTACCTCTTTCAAGTTCCGTGGGGTAGGCAGATTGGCAATAGCAGCGTTTTTCTCAGGATTAACTGATACACCATTGGGTGTTATTAAATATTCCAGATATCGAACACTCGGACGAACAAACATACATTTTGCCCGATTTGCGCGCAACTTGAACTGTCTAAGCCTGTTGAAAACTTTTTGATGATCACTAAAGTGCGTCTTAAAGTCAAAGGGCAAGACGATCCATATCATCCAGATAAGCTAAAATCGAAACGTCTGTGAGTCCACGGCGAAAAACATCCATTAAACGCTGGAAAAACGCCGGAGCGTTTTTCAATCCGAATGGCATACGTAAATAGCGGAACGTTCCAAATGAAGTGGTGAAAGCAGTCTTATCGCGATCACACTCGCAATGTGTGGGTCTATTGGAGGATTGAGAAGTTTGGCAATAAGCGGAGAACCACGCAATTTTTTCTAACATCACCGAACACAAAAATCAAAAAGATCTGTAGGGTCATGGTGGCTAAGTTGGTTAGAGCGTAGCACCGGCAATGCTGAGCACGCGGGTTCGAATCCCGCCCAAGGCCAAAATATTTTTAATCCTCCAATTTTCCTTAATTTTCTCTTCATTTTCAATCAAATAATTCTGTTGAAACACAAAACATTAGTTTTCGGAAAAAACTGTAGAGTCCGCAACGATTTTCTGTCCTAAACGATCCCGCAGAAGCCGAAAAACGCGTGAAAATGTCCCGAACAAAATTCAAATTTACCGACAATTCTTCAAAGTTCCGTGTTGGGAGTCGATGTACCGTTGGGCTTTTTTCTGGGTTTTTTAGAGCCTCGAAATTATCGGTAATATCTTGCTTTTGAAATGGAAGCACACCACTAAAGGCTTTATAGACATTTAAATAATACAAACGAATTAAAATATAAAATATAAAATATTAGGAGATTAATAAAGAAAAAAATAAATTTTATAACATTTCTTCCCGTAGTTAATCAATAATATTTCCCGGTGAAACAATTAGCTAAAAAAAACACAGCACCAAAACAACAATCACACATCCTAGATTAACATTAGTTTTTAGGGTTGTTGTGTCACTTGATTCTAAGGGATGATTTGGAATTTCGTTACAGTTACGATTCTTTTCCCATATGTTGATGTTTCAATAGCCTACAAAAAATCTTCGCAAAATCGGCTCATAATCTGCTGTTGAATAGGACAACATGTTGTATTATGCAATAGAGAACAGACAAAATCAAAAAACTTTATATTCAATTAGGGAGCTTTTGGAGAAATTCCCAATACCAAAAATGTATTAACTGTTCTGCATTATTTTGAACAAAATTGACTATCGAATTGAATTGTCCCTCGTAACCGCAATCACAGGTACCTACATCGACAATCAAAATTGGTACGAAATTAAAAGTTGAGATGTGCCAACCAACAGCTCGGCAGTACCACACGCTAATCTGCAGCCACTCTTTGGTGGTGCTGGTACCAATTTCATTTCTCCTACTTTCAAAACAATCGACCGAGTATCAGCTACTGGCTGCACCATATCAAAACAGTACCCGTTTTCTCGGACGCAAGAAAAGTACCATCGAGCAGTACCCTTTCATTTATTATTATTATTAGGTGGAAATTGGATTTTTTTAGTTTTGGTTTTGACCATTAGAAAAAAATATATATAATAATGAGCAGTGGTACTTAAAGTGTTGGATTTAAGTGAATTTTTTTGGACTTAGCGTTAATTTAACTGCTGGTGAGTTTAAACTTGAAATTGAGTATAAGAAAAATGTTGTTTTATGTAGGTCTAGCTCCGATTATGGTTTTGATAGGCACCTGGTGAATGGTTTTATAAAAATCAACCTAATTGTTAGAAATAGAAAGTGATATTGGTTCATCAAGAGCGTCGTTGATAATAATTGAATTTGCCTAAACTAATTTAATTGAATTTGTTTGAAAATACATACTTTTGGTTGGTATGAATTTTCTCGGGTGTCATTGCACTGGCTTATTAGAACATCTGTGCTGATTTTTAAATAAATAGATTGAAAATTTACTAGACTTTTTCCAAGGTTTGCGCATTTTAGTAAATTCTAAGGATGGTAGAAGATGTTTTGCCTACTTATGAACTCAAATGACATGAAAAATTACATTGAGTTCATCTGCACCTGTACAGAGTTCAAAAATTTGAATTTTTCTAAATTGATCTGATTGATGTTTTTGGTCATTCTGGTTGTATCTTCATAGGGTTGCCCTAACAAAAGCTGAAACTCAATTGGAAGATACTCAGAATCCTCAAGAATTTATCAGGACAGTTTTCATATCTTTCTGATTGGTTGAGAGTTACATTTTTAGTAATTTTTGAGCAATATGAACAACTTATTCTAATAAGAATTCAATCTCAAACAGAGCCAATTAGCATCATCAAAAATGTGCTAAAGCTGTGACTGGCTCTTCTAGAAATTTCTATTGGCTCAAAGATGTGTCAGTGAAACTTGCAAATCCATCTGATTGGATATGACTGACAATAATTCTAGTGAGGTCTATCTTTTCTTTCATCTTCTATGTTAGGTAATCTATTTTTGTAAAACTGTCTTATCATCCAAAGATTCAAAATTATATTCTGGTTTAAGTGATTCATCTCTACATATCATGTCGATTTAGGTACAGCAAAAAATGAACTAATCCTAGCGACTTATACATTAAGAATCTCAGTTAATGTCTGTGTCTGTGTCTACAACATAAATATAGGGAGAATCTACACAAAATAGAACATCAACATGACACAACATAGAAAAAAGACAAACAAACAAAAACACAAAAGGCAGATAAAACAACTGGACAATGATCATTTAACTTTTTAGCACCACGCATGTACGTCAGCATCCCTGTGGCTATACGAGACAAAAAAAAGTTTACTAGCTTTCAAAAAAAAAACCTGAAAATATGATTAATGTCTAAACCTAGACAAAAGGCCTTGTATCTCATGGGTCTGAGGCCCTAGATTTGATCATACACAGCCCTAGAAAAATTTAAATTATTATACAACTGTGTATCGTCTACTATGGGATCAAAATCAATCAAAGACATAATCACACTTAATGGTGGATGATGACGATCGGCAGGTACCAGCGGCAGGTCACACTTGTTAACACTCACATTAGGACTGTTTGGAAGTACCAAATCCAGAATGACACTATTCTCATTGTACACATTATTAAGCTGTAAAAAAAAGGTCATGAAAACAACAAGAGTCATATAATGTCTTTTCACCATCATATCGAGACATAAAAACTGTGTTATTTTAATTGTCAAGTAGATTCAATTAATTGATTATCGACATCGGGGTGAGGGGGTCCTGTTCATGAGTGCTCCAGAGAATTAGTATAAGTTTGAAATACTGATAGTGGGGAGGATGGAGGAATGTAGACCGCACACCATATTTTTGGTGATTCGGTTCCGTTGAGTGATCCTCCTATCCAATCTTCCTCTAGCTCACTGTCCGAAATGATGTATTTATTCCACTGAGTGAAAACATTATTTTATCGCAATCAATACGCCACCATCTCTTAGTTTACCTGTCGCCCCAAAACTACGATCTTTTCTGTATAGGTACAATGTAGTCATCAGGAAATAATTCCTCATTAAAAATACCTTCCGTAAGCCATGTTTCAGTAATAATTACAATATCGTAGTTGCCATATTAGCAGCAGCAATCGCGTTTCGTCCCTTTCAGTTAAAAAACAGCAGAAAAATCGAGACGGAATGCGTGAATATAACGGACCGAAATCGAGACGGATTTTCTTATTTATTTGCTGAAGATCTCGCAAGAAAAACGTCCCCATCACGTCACCTTGTATTAACGATCCAAGTACGCTTTAACGCACATTTTGAGGACGTTAATGCGTACAGATTTCGGCACTGTGACCAAATGAGGACGCTTTCCGAAAAACGCTTCCAAGCGAACTGAAATATACTTCCGAACATCAACATACGATTCAATACACATTTTGAAATACATTTATTCCAGTTACGTTTCTCTTCCTTTTTATATACAATGGAAGAGCAACTATCAACTGACTATTTCTAAGTATGAATCAACAAAATCTTTGGATCATCCAATGTCAGGAAAAATTCCAGTCTCTATTTCAAATCAAAAAAATCCAAGGCTGTCTAATCCAATCAACAAAATACGCCAAACTTTATAATTATTATTAAATTAATATGCATGTAACCAAACTTAAGCTCGGCCTCAATTAACCAAAAACAGAACTTCCTGATATAGTCAAATTTTGCTCTTTAATATTATCTTGTAAACAATGCAAATTAATTACCACCGGAGGAGCTTCAAGAGTGTTTTGATGCTAAATCGTGGCGTGCAATCAATTTATTAATATGGATGGTTGCTTTATTGCCGGTAATAATTCCAGATTTGGTAACTATTAAATACAATGTGCGTGGTTGCTTAATGGGAAGTGTACTGCAATTATTGCTAATAATATTTAGTATTGTATTGTATTTTATGTAACGTTGTTTTATTTAATATCGGTAAAATGTTTGTGTAAAGTGAATGTTGCTCGGCCATGGGTTTGTATGCTTATTTATGTGCGTTCGTTGCATTCTTCAATTATCCCCAAGTACTTTTTCCTTGAGAAATTCTGTAATAGTCAAAATTTTTCAAAATTAAATGAAGTAAGACAAAACATAAAAATGATTGAGGTATTTCCATCTTTGTATAGTGTCAATTATGGATTTTGCCTTGAAATCAATTTTGAATGAGAATTTGCCTAAAGCCAGTCCAGCTATTCTTGTCTTCGAGCTTCTTCCTCTTTGTGTCTTGAGTTTTCCTCTGCTTGTCTCTCTGTCTGTCTTTTGAGTTTCACTTATTGTTTTTCTTTCTGTCTACGGTCTTGCTCTACCTGTTTTTTTTTCTGTCTTCGGTTCTCTTCTTCTTGTTTTTCGTCTTCCCGTTATGCTGCAATCCAATCCTCTTATTATCTTTTCTGTTTGATATTTTTCATGAGTTCTAGCAATATTGGATTGACTTGCACTCGACTTGCACCATTTCGTTTACTTAATGTAGCGTATTTAATTACCGAAGAAATCAAAATTCTCGTAATTTGTCATGTCCAAACTACTTGCATGGTGCGAGAGTGAGGATATGACAAGAAAGCCTCATAAAATAACTGTAGTGCCCTTTACAAGGAAAAGGCAGCTTCACCATACGATACCCCTCAACCTATGTACGAGGGTTGGTGGTACCTTTTGCAAACGAAGTCAAATATCTAGGAATTACTCTAGATAAAAGGCGTACCTATCTGGAACTTCCATCTTGAAAAAAATTAACAGAAACCTAACTCACTATGGACCTGCCACGTAAAAGACTTGGTGGTTGGACATCGACTGCCAAGATCACTCTCAATCGGAAACCAGATCCAGATCACATTTGGCTGAATACATAACTTCCTCACGTCAAAATGGCTGGTCACCCCTCCGATGATTCCATGTCTTGCCCCATGACGTAGTCTTGATACCTACTTGGCAGGCTAGCCCGCAGTCAAACGAGCAGATCTGGAGCAATTAGGCGCATCCAGGCATGTCGTGGCGGATCCCTTGTCTTTGTTTTGCTTTGTTGAGGTTCTTGTCGGTCTTTCTTGCTTTGGTTGTGAATTATAGACTTCTGAGTTGTCTTTTTGATCACTGAAAAGGCCACCGGAAGCGTGATACCATTCACCAAGGTCCTCTATCTCTCGTTGTGGTACTGGTTTGGATCTCGAAGCTACCAGCTACCTCCAGTTTCTGTGGAGCAATTCTGTTCCTGTGAAAAATATTCGTTAGTGGTATACCTAGTCAGAAACAGATTCAAATAAGTCATCAGTTTCCCCGACGTCTTTCACTTCACTATATGTCCCAGTGTCCAGGTTTTCACTTGTGCTTAGTTCACTAGAGCGAGTAGTAGAGTTGTTGATGTTAATAGCTTTTGTGTTACAGGGCAGGGTTGATTTAAATGCTATTTTGGGTACTGTATGACGTGATGGTGGCTTTATAAATAATTCATTTGATTTTGAGTTACCTTCTGGCTGTATTTGTTATACTTTCCCTTCTCTTTCTTTCTCCCTCTTGCTTTCCCAACTGTGCAGTTGGTTAGCATGTCTTTTCCACAATTATTGTCCCTCCAAGACTTCGCACACAAAGGTTTCCACCCCAATTCTCTTTATGATCTTTCCTGGGACCCAGTTTGTTTTGTTTTGTGTCTTGTAGTCCTTGGCCCATATACTTTCACCAATTTTAAAATCTCTAGAACTTCCCTTGTAATAGTGCTTCTGTTGTGCCTTTTTAAAGTTTTTTTTTGTGATTTAATTTTTTTCTTGTTCTGGTGTTTCTTGAATTTGTAATAATCTCGTTTTCAATCGCATGCCGAAAATTGCCTGTCCTGGTGTTGTCTCTGTAGAGGAATGCTCTGTTGTCCTGTAACTTCATAGAAATCGTAATTGGTATTGAATTTTTTTGTTGAATTTCTTGGGCAAAAATATGTCTGTACATTTTGTTTTTGAAGGTTTTTACAAAATTTTCTGCTGCTCCGTTTTGCCTTTGCATGCCTGGTGCGGACGTTATGTGTTTGATACCCTTTAGTCTGGAAAACTTCGGTAAATTTCTGGATGTGAACTGAGTTCCATTATCCGATAAAACTATACCTGGTATGGCAAACATTGCAAAGATTTTTCTGAGCTTATTTTCAGCGTCTTCTATGTAGTC